GTAGTAGTAGTAGTAGTAGTAGTATTATTATTATTATTATTATTATTATTATTATTATTGCCTACAAGGCAGTTTTTGACTCCTGACGACTGCCTGGACAAGCCCCTGCAGTTTTCTTGGCAAGGTTTTTTGGAAGTGGTTTGCCATTGCCTCCTTCCTAGGGCTAAGAAAGAATGATCGGCCCAAGGTCATCCAACTGGCTTCGGGCCTAGGGTGGACTAAAACTCATGGTCTCCCGAGTTCTAGCCTGGTGCCTTAACCACTACACCAAACTGGCTCTCCCTTATATTATTATGCTCCTCAAAAGACCAGCATAGGGCACAAAGGGTAGAATGTTGGAGAATCTCTGTCAGCCACCAAGTTTATTAGATGTAACTTTGGGCCGCTCACCATCTCTCAGGGTGCTTCCACACTGCAACTGCTTCATCTCCTCTCTAAATAGCATTGAAGTGTTCCCTCCATTCGTACAATGTAAAAATGACAATATCTAGTGCTGAATCACTGCCAGCCTGGAGCTGTAAAACTCCCATGATCCCACAAAAGCAGAATAAGATACATTTTGCTATTGCTATTCCCTATACATGCCCTTTTGTTCATGGAATTCAATGGTTTCTTTGGCAGAAAGCTGCAAAACTAATCCATCCCTTTGCTGCATTTAAAAGAAATAGTAGCATTTTACTGTGAAACTGCAGCAGCTGAATTGTGTTTTTCTACAGAAAGAAGGAGGCTGATTTGAGTTCATGAGTCAAAAATTCTCTCCAACAGGAAAATAGACCACCAGAAGCTCAACAAAGCTAGGGCATTGCAAAGAAAACATCAACTTTACTCTGGCTTCAAATAAGCTGCATTGCAGCAACAAAAATCAATTCTTGCTCAATTTCAAAACTAGCCTATATTGTGTGTTTGCATAGGCTGTAGCTGGTTGACAACCAGCACAAATGCTGCCCATCTAACTGATCAACGCCATAGATACTGTTGTGAAATTAAAAGGGAGATGGCCTGAGATTATTTATTATAATTAATCATTTATTATAATTAAATGAATAGCCCGGTAAAATTAAAATTAAAATTATGGGCTCTTCCTAGATTCCAGATTGTAAAATTCCTGAATTCTTCATTTTGATTAATGCCATTTTTCAAAGCCTATTTAGAATTCTCTTCGTTTTCCTTAACATTTTGAATAATTTTCTAGACTGGCCCAGGAAGCAGTTTATCAACAAATATGGGGAATGCCTTCTCTTGAGCTAATTTAACTGAAACCCTCCACAGGCAGGCTTGGAATCAAGGATGTTTTTCTCCTCCCCTCTATTTTGCAAAATCTCAAAATAGATTTCTGACATACTTCCTAAGCTATGTCAGAATAACCCTTCTCTGATCCTGGATGTACTTGCATCCTAGTCATTTGGGGAGGTGTTGTTGGAGAATCACAAGACCACTACTTATATCTGAAAGAGGCAGACTTTTCCAACACCTTGCTAATATAGACAAGTCTGAGCTTTCTGATTACACAGTGAGACAGCATGCATGATCCAGCTGAAGGAGGAGGCGATACCCTGGATTTCCCCAAACCTAAGTCTGGCTTACTGGTGCAGGTAACTAGCATTAGTGAGGTCTTATTGGAAGTGGGAAGCTGTTCCAGAACCTTTCTATATTCTGGGCCTGGCACTCCTCAATATTTTCATTAATGGCTCAGAAGTAATGCTTATCAAATTTGCCACAACTGAGTGAGTTGCCTAAATTCTTTACTTAGGGAAAAGAAATCAGATGCACAAATATAGGATGGAGATACAAGGTTTGCTAATACTACATGTGAATATTTGCCTGGAACTGTAGTTGATCACAAACTGAGCATGAGTTAGCAATGTGACATGGCTATTTTAAAAATTCATAAGTAATGTTTACTATATCAATAGAGAGACTGTTTCCAAATCATCGAAAATAATAGTCCTTCTCTTTTCTACATTGGCCAGAACCCACACTGATGTTAGTTCTAGGATCCATACTTTAGAAAAGGATTTAGAGAAACTGGTGCAAAGAAGAGCATAAGGATGCTCGTGGGATTATAAACCAAATCTTAGTGATAAAACCAAGAAGCAACTGAGCATCTGTGATTTCTAAAGTAGGGATGGCAATCTGATTCTATGAATTGTCTTTGGGTGATTCCTATGCTCTTTTCCCCACCTGATTTTAATTATGTTTAAATATACTTATAATTTAAACAATATAATGGAAGTTAGCATGCACTGAAGGTATACACCAGTTTGTAGCACTAGTTTTATTTCCAAGAACAGATATTGGTCTCACATTGACCCCGTAGTGATTATTTAAACTGCAACTGGCTGCATCTTGGTTGTGGTTCGTTTGGAAATGTGCCCACCTGTCCAGAAAAAAGACAAAGAGAAATTGGGGCTTTATTTGAGATCCTGGGGGATGATAGAGTGCAATATTTTAGGGCAACTAGATTTAGATTGCAAAAATGCTAAAACCACTTATGCAGGGACAAAGAATTTGAGTTTTCTGGATTTCTTTGTTGTCCTCTAGTGATCATCCAGATTTTTGCACCAGATCTAGTGACCCTACCAGGAATGTTGTCTTATCCCAGTTTCAACAGTCCTATCAAATCCAGAGGCAGACATAATCCCTGGTTAGAATACATTTCTGTTTCCACTCCTTATGCCTGAGGTATCATCAATTTTGTTGTGTTTATTCACAGTTAAATCTCATTAAGTACATATATTTCTGCTTCTTTGGATGCCTAAAGGCATCAGGATATAGACTACAAGGAGAGAGGGCAGCGGGTTGGATTAGAAGACCTCCAAGATCCCTTTGAACCCTATGATTCTATGAGAGAGCCCTTCCTGCAAGTTGTGTCTCTTCAAGGCGCTGCCCATTGAAACCAATCCATGTCCTCATTTGTGGCCTTTAGGAAGGCCTTCAAGATTTGTTTCTTTTCCATGGCATTGGCTTTCCCCTGAGTTGTGTTTTTACAAAACTGCTGAAGACTTGGATTGCATTTTTCTTGGGTTGAAATGTTTGTTATCACTACTAGTTTTTATCCAGATTTCCCTGATGCTGATGCATTATTTTAACTTACTGGGTTTTATAACCTCAGCATAAATGTTTGAGATTAAAAGGTGCCTCTTCTAAGATGGTACCTGAGTTGTTGTTGTCTTTTTAAAAAAAACAAACAAGTGCTACAGAAAATGAATAGGTTTTAAATAAATGTAATGCCAGAGTAACAGGAAGCAACCACTTTAGTCTAACTCAGGGAGGATGGAAAACCATGATCCTTCAACTGTTGCTGCACTCGAAATCTTGGCAGCCCTCAACCAGCATGGCAAACATAAGGATGAGAGGTGTTGCAGTTCAGCAAAGTCTGGACTCACCTCCTGGTTGATATACAAATAGGGCTTCTTTATACATACTTACTCAGAAGTAAGCTGTGCCATATTTAGCTGGGGGTCAGTTCTTCTTGATACAATGGTTTTTACTTTTGAGTAAATATGCACTTTATGGTCTGCCTTATGCCACAGGGCTGCACCATTATTCAGGTATTTGAGTTCAGTGGTATCTAGTTACAACTGGATTAAGATAGTTTTCATATCTGAGACAAAGTAAAATATTGTATAATGCTTTCACCTTCAGTTCAAGGTGCAGTTATCCAAAGCCAGTCAATGTCTTTTACATCATGGGGAAAAGAAACAGTAAAATTTGTATATTCTTCCTCCCAGTAAACCCACAATGATAATGCATTAAATACTGAAAAAAATGTGTTCTTTCCTGACTTATGCTGTCCTTTCCTAATGAAGGTTTAGAGAGGACCTTTCTGACAAACTGCTGCCCTTTAGATGTGATGGGAGTATAATTCCCAGAATTCTAGTGGTCATGCTGTAATATTAACATGCCTGAACGGTGTGAGGATGAGAAGAGTAGTTCTGAACATATGGATATGGCCCATTGTTGTATGCAAGCTTTTTTGTACATATCTATAGCATTTGGAAGCCTGATTCAATACTGAAGTCTGTTTCCACATCTGGATTATCTTGGTGGGTTAGGATAATTATATTTTTAATGAGCATTACCTAAAATATTCCATGATTTCAAATATTTTATACACACGGACATGTACTGCTCCAGTTAAAAATGATGGAGTAGCCACTGCTGGTGCATATGCTGGTTCTGCAGAACAGTAGGCATTTGCCTTGATATAGCAGTTTTAAAAGTGCTGTTTTGATTCTGAAGTACATAATGTAAATACTGTTGAATTTCCCAGCGGAACTTCTCTGAAAATCCTGGAGATTGATGCTGTCATAGTATCTATGACTAATGAAGATGGAACCTCTCTTATTTTTACCATTTCTTTCAGTGCTGGTTTTAAAGGGGATGATTACATTTCTGCAGGTTATTAGATAAGGGCTAAATACATTACACTTTCAACAAACTATCTCACATTTAAGATTTAAAGGTCAGGCATTTGTTTAAACAGTCAAGCCACTGCAAGAGAGTTGAATTGTAGGTCAACTTTCATTTTGACAAGCTTTCTTGGAGATGCTTTCATCATTCATTTGGGAACTGATTTTTTTCCCTTTTCCTTTTAAGTGTGGCTTCATAAAATTGTCTGTACATTAGATAAGTGTCTGTACATTATCCAATAGCATTAACCAAACTGCTTCTTTTTCTAAAGGCAAACTGAATTTTACTATAGAATAGAACTGTTAATTTTCCCCAGTAGGTGAATAGGAATTTCTTGTCTGTAATAGCTCATTTACCATCTCTTTTACAGAAATCTCTTAATTTGTATAGCAGTTGTCAATGAACAGTACTGAATTCATGACAGTAATGCAAGCCCATTTTTCATATTATCCCCTACTGGGGAAAATTAACAGTTCTATTCTGACTGGGTGGCTTTTAGAACATTCTACCGTAAGGCCAATGATTTACTTTTATATGACCAGTTATTATGTTAGGAAAATTACGTCTTTACCCCCAAGGGGCTGAGAAATTTCTTCTGTGTATAGTGGCCTTAAAGTGCAGTATATTTCAGGCAATTCCATTCTGTTTTTATTTCACAAGGTATCTCAATCCACCATTTTGTTGACATTCTCTACATGCAAGAGAACAGTTGGTTGAATCTATTAACTTGATCTGATTTCTGGTGCATTCTGGCTATGATAAATGTACCAAGTTCCAGTTATGTTACACTGATTTACAATGGTACAAGAAAGCATACCAAGCCTTTTCACAAATCCTTACTGAAATTTGGGGAGGGCTAGATTTATTGAATTTTAGGTTTCTGTGAAATAGCTTGAATGTTTTGCCTAAACAAAGGCTGCCTTCTATGTTTGCTTTGAATAAAAGTAATTTGAATAGTCTAAGCACATGCAGCATTCCACTAAAATACTTTCCATAAGGGTTGTACATGTTTTGAAAATAATTTAAAGGAAGAAGTTTCAAACTTGTGGAAGCATAGCACAGTGTTTTAGGAATTGCATTAAGAATGGATTCTTTAAAGCAGCAGTATGTTTTTTCAGCCTTCTGCACAAAGCAGCTTTAATAATAGCAGAGGAGTGTTGCACTCATGAAAGATCCAGAGCACATCTTCCAGATAATTGTCAAACTCTGCACAGCCCCAACATTTTCTCATACTTGGCATGCATCTTCTTGAGGAGGAACTCTAACAATTGTTTCAAAATGTGCTTTAAAAACCATATTTATAGAGCAAAATAGAACAAAAACTACAAAACAGTTAAAAAGCTGATACCCTCAAAAACAAGTAAAATCAAAAGAGGAAGACCTCAGCAGAAAATAACCAACTTCCAGTCCTCATCCCTGTAAAGACAACAACCTATTATTTTCCAAAGGCTTAAGGAATAAAACAATGTTTATTGCCTTCCTTGAATGACTTAGAAATAGACCCACTGAAATGCAGATTGTTTTATTCAGGATGAATACTCATAATTGTTTCAAGGGGCTAACTCTAAGCAGGATTAAATAAGAATATATCACTAACTAGCAACAATTTTAGCTCCAGAATGGTGAACCAAATAAGCAAGTTCATTACAATTCTAGCATGAATGAAGATATAATTTGTCAGTCAGTCTCTGTCTAATAATAATCACAATTCTGCTGTAGATGGGTTAGTTTAAATAACATGCTGTAAGCTGTAAGACTTTCTTGTCTCTTTCTGTTTTTAGATAACCAAGCTGAAAATTGACAGCAACCCTTTTGCTAAAGGATTCAGGGATTCTTCCAGACTCACAGATATTGAGAGGTAATGAGGATCTGTTGTATATTTGACAGAGATAAGATCATAGAGTGATGAGCGTGGTGGAGAGTTGTCTTGGAAAATATATTTCTAGTTCCCATGAAGTTGAGCATTTGAAGTGTGCTTTGCTTTTAAGAGGACTTGGAGTCTCTATAAATAGTGCAAAAATGGAGCTATTCTGAATCTTCATTACTCTTTCCAATGTCTATGGTTCTTTCCCTACTTGGACCTCAGCACAGTACAATCATACCTTGGCAACACCTTTTTCTGCTGCATCTCCATGGCATTGCTTTCATCAGATCTCCAGTCCTTGAGTGAAGCAGCCTTATGTCATCTTTGGCTCTGTTGGTGTTAAACTAGTGTTTCTGCCCTAAGCTGATGGTATTTAATGGTGGCTGGGAGAGATATAAGATCAGTTAAATTTTACCAGCAGTTAAACTTGACCACTAGCAAGAAGATCAGAGTGCTGCTAATTCACTGTTTAAAGTTCATGTCGGCATACATCCTCCCCTTCAGTCTTTGCCCTGGTCAGCTTAGTCTGCCATCCCCCAAAGGGCAGCAGTGGCGGCGGCGGCTGCTGCTGCTGCTGCTGCTGTTGTTATTATTATTATTAATATTCCCACCTTTTTTATATATAACTCAAGGCAGAGAACATACCTAATACTCCTGCCTCTTATATTATATACACCTATGAGGTGGGTTGGGCTGAAAGTGAGTGACTGGCCCAAAGTCACTCAGCTGGCTTTCGTGCCTAAAGTGGGACTAGAACTCACAGTCTCCTGCTTTCTAGGCCAATACTTTAACCACAACATCAAAGTGGTTCTTAACAATAGCATGTCAGGGGCCTCTCAGAATTGTTCCATAGCTCTAGGGGGCTCAGCTGCAGTACTGTAAGTGCTTTAACTCTACAGCCCTTATTAGATTAGCACAAGACTGAAATAGTGGAACAACTGGATCTTCCCCTCCCCAATGACTCCTGTTCAAAGGAATCTGGAAATTGGCATTTGTAGCCCATAAAAAGAAAGGAATAGAAAGTGGGAGAAACTCTAAGCAAGCTGATTGTGAGTCTTTGTAAATTGGGTCCATTGTTGTTGGGTTATAACAACATAGGGTGTGGGAGGGGCACAGGGAGAAGTCTAGAGAAGAAAGACAGTGTCCTACAGGCAGATCTGTTCTATTCCTGCTTCAGCCCTGTGATTAGTGGATGTTTTTTCATGCCAGCTGGTGATGGGCTACAGAGGCAGGTAGCAAAACTGGAGAAACAAGCCAATCAATTTGCTTAGCACACACTGCAAAGGCATTCTCAGGACAACACTATTCAGTAATAAGTCAGAAGAGACATAATAGTGGCAGGACAGGAATCAGCAATGTATTTCATGCTGGTATAGTTTTCTGCTGACTCAAGGATGGATGGATAACACTTTAATTCAGCAGTGCAGAAAACCTCTTCGATTACCTCCCACTATTCATCTTGCCTTTGGTTGGTTGTTTATTTACTTTATTTATTTGTCCAATTTATATAGCCACCCATCTCACAAAACAAGTGACTCCGGTAGCGTACAACAAAGCTAAAACAATTCATAAATACCTAAAATTATCATTACTATTATTAAAGATATTAAAAACTATAGAAAACAAAGCTAAGACAAAGAAGGAGTAGGAGAAGGGATTTTAATAATAATGGAGCCACCTGGCTAATTCTCCAGTCCCCTGGGGTCCCCAGGCTTGATGGCAGAACCAGGTCTTGAGGGACCTGTTGAAGATCAGAAGTGATGGAGCCAGCTTACCTCAGGGGGGAGAATATTCCACAATGTGGGCACCACAGTAGAAAAGGCCTATTGCCTAAGGCCCGCCAAATGTAGCTCCTTCAACCCGTAACATGCTGTCTCTGATGGATCTGGGGCAGATGTAATTGGGGGGAGGTGGTCAGGCAACCCAGTCCCATGCCATGTAGGGCTTTAAAGGTCAACAGCAGCACCTTGAATTGGACCCAGAAAGAAACTGGTAATCAGTGCAGCCTGCAAAGCAGAGGTGTAATGTGTGTTCTACCAGAAACACACGTAACTGCGTGTGCCTCTGCATTTTGCACCAGCTGAAGTTTCTGGATACTTTTCAAGGGCAGCCCCATGTAGAGCACATTACAATAGTCCAGCTGGACTAGTCAACCAGAGCATGAGTGATCGTGAATAGGGCCTCTCAATCTTGTTTCTTGTCTAGCTTCCATACTGGCAGGTAATTATGGGGACTGTAGTCCAGAGCAAGGCACAGGACTGGGAAAGACTGCTCCAGATCTGCAACTAAACATATGCCTGATTTTGTAGAAAAATAATATTTTTTGGTTATATTTGAACCACTGATGTGTCTGTCATTTCAGTCCATTTGACCCAAGCTACTGAAATGTTCAACTACTATTATGAATGCTCAGAAAAATCACTTCATGCAGTCTTAATTAGGTACTGCAGACTCAAAATGTGTCTCATACTATAAAGTTTTCATGCACATGGAAAGGTTCTAAAGGGAATACTAAGTTGTCCCTATGTATCATTTCTGGCCTTGGCTTGCCAGCTCCTGTAGGTGTAAATCTTCCAAGTTTTCTCAGGGAACATTTTCAAAGAAATGACATATCAGTGTATGTGCTCAGTAAGTTACAATAGAAAATTGCTGCCATACAGCACTGACAATATGTATTTTCTGTAATGGGATCCTCCATGGTTAGATCAAAGTAATGTGAATGTGTTCACTGATGCATTTTGCTTGACTGCTTTTATGCAATCTGTTTATTTGCATGCATGAATAAAGAGCAGGTGAGGGCAAGCAATTTAATCACATATTTTAGGTGATAAGATTGCTGATGTGTGGTGCTGTGTAAGGTGGCTTGGCTTTGATTCAGTAAGGTGTTTTATGTCATTGAGGAAACAGAATTTTCCTCACTGAAATAAGGCAACAAGCAGTTTGTTATTTTGCATCTTCTTGCCATTCCAAGAGCTGTAAGAGGCTTCCACTCTTCCACTCGTATGTTGTACAAGTGTAGAAGCTTTTTCTGGTAACCAGCTAGAAGCATTGGAAGAAGATGCTTTGTACGCATAGCACCTAGCCAAAAACGTTGAGCTACTGACCTGCCAGAAGATGCCTTGCAGAGAAGCAATACAATGGCTTTCTTTAAGAATTAAAGGGGTGCATTAGTTCATGCAGTAGCTTGGAATGAGTGCTTGACATAAACTTCTCTTAAGCATTGCTGAGACCTTCTGCAATGTGCACATTCATAAAAAGTTCATAATTCTTGGTGTCTTAATTCCAGGAACTAACTAAGAAGTAGTGATTGCTCTTCTTATCGTATAGATTTTAGACCAAAACATAACAATAGTAGAACAAATCCAAATCGTATAAGGTAATGTTCTAATTTCTCAGTTGCATCCCCAAAAGTAAGACATCACAAAACCTTATACTGAGCATTCTTTAAAATGTACAGTGTATATAAAACACGATATTCTTTTGTATTAATCACATTTTTTGGTCATCAGAGAGTAATTTCACATTCTTTAAAATAACTGTTGCTGGTTTACAGAAATAGAACAGTCAAGGACTTTATTTCAATGGCTGCATAAATAGAATCACTTTCACCTACTTCAGCTTCTAGTAAAGATAAATTACTGGCTTAGAAGCGTCTGCTAATTTTTCCAAAATCTTTAATGAGTATGTAATTTTAAAGGTAGCAATGGCATCAGGATTTTTAAAAATGTAGATCAGAAAGGAATAAATTTCCAGTAACTACTTGGAAATAAATCTAACATAGTTTATTTATTTTATTTATTTAGGGTCCAAGACTAAGTCACAGAATTTAAAATACAGTTCACTATTAATACATGCATAAGTAATAGTAGATACATATGTAAAAAGAAGATACCCTATAAAGTTAACATTTCATTGAGGGCACCAAACGGTTTCTATAAGCTAAAGCTATAAATAAAAATTTTGCTACTGCCTTCAAAACACCTGAGTATTGATAATTTAATACCTCAGTCTCCTTGTCATGAGTGGAGTTTTAAAATTCAGCTAAAAAGAAGAGAATATTGAAATTCAGCTAAAAAGATTCTAATGCAAAAATAATCCATAAATCTAGCAAATAGGACACGGTAGGGAAGGTCTTTTCTGTGCATATATTATATGCAGTAACAATTCAATACTTTCTTTGAATGGTGGACCTTGAGGACAACTTGCAAAGCTAATAGTGTCTCAAATGCCATTTACATGACTTGGCAAAGATAGTTGGCAGATTGACTCTCACACTTTGAAAAGTAGATGTTTAAGTTGCCCTTGTAATCAGATAATCCATTTTATGAATAGGCTTCCTAAGGCAAACACACTTTTGTGTTATCAATTTTTTGGGACATTAGTTTGTTCCCTTTGCTATGCAAAACAGCCTGCAGAACTCTTATTCATCATACACAGTGAGTCTTTGGGTTGACCTAAATAGTGTCAATATGGGACAAAGCTTTGTATTTAATTTCCAGATAGTTAAGTCTGCTTTTTTCCCCCTAACTAGCCTTTAGGGAGGGAAGCAAATCAGATCAATTGATCTTTAGAGACCCAAAGAAATTAAATTAGGCTGGAGTCAGTTACTGCACTAAACCATCTAGTAATTGGATTGCTCCTTGTAACTGATTGAAAACAGCTTCCATCTGCAGCAATATAGGCTGGGCTTCCTTACAACAAATCTGAGAGAAAAACACATCTTTTTATGACATGATGACAGACATTGCACTTTTCTAGCTTAATTGAATATGGTTTTATAAATACACGACTCTAGCAATTTCAAACTTCCCATTTCAGATTTACAGTCTCAATCAAACCTTAATTTGAAGTAAGGCTCCACTCTGGAATTTTTGAGCCCACCCTATTCTCAATATCAGGGCTTAATCATGGACCACTTCAAATAATGATAAAAAGAAGAAAGTGCTCATAAGCATATCCTGAAATCTTTCCCTTCACTACTGAATATATTTTAC